AGGTGTTAGATGCAGCTCCTATGCAGTGGGACAGGGAGGGGGGGGGGGGGCATCAGATCCACCTACCAGAGCCTGTCAAAGGCGCAGATCCCATTTAGATATCATTTGGTGCATCCATGTTACACTTGTCTAGTTGTGCAAGGCCACAGGCTCTCAATAATTATTGACATCAGTCGTGGAACGGTTTGGAAAGTCTGTACACTTCCAAGCAGGAGTTCTTCATGGTGCTTCTTCGTTCTCAGTCATGGCCCTGTAGACCAAAACCCTTGGACCAAACTCTTAGGCCAAACTCTTAGACCAACCCTCTGTTGCTGCCGTCTAGTATATTGTTTTGTGCAGGCCGCCAGCTGCTGTAGTGTTAGCCATCAGCATAGCTAGCGACTAGCTGTTGGTTGATGTGTATACTCTCCTCGTATGTTACCCCTTACACCCAGTTCTCGTTCTGTCTATTTTAAAATTGTGTCGAACTGCAAAAAAAACTGAAAACATGAACTGCAGCGAGATTGTCCGGTACGAATTCATCGCGACGTGATAGGAACTATGACTGGAGCAAATGCGAAATGTTGTTACTCGGCTGTAGTTATTAAGCTGAAAGATGTGCGTGAGCAATTACAAGTACAGAAACATGTATTGGTGAATCGGATATCTAGAACGGGCAACGTGTGCTTTCCTTGCGCCCTAACGGGTGCGAAGCTATCAGTAATCTTGTAGGAGCTTCTTGCAGTTCAGGCTTCATTAACCCGCTGCGTCACAGTTTCTACAGGTACCCCCCCCCGGAAAGACCTGCGTGTACATGTACTTTGTTAATGCCATTGGGTATGTGATATCTTCATGGTTCACCTCAGTCCCGATTGCGTCAGCCCTGTACTCAGTGTGTATAATCTGACTATCCTCTCCGGTGATCGTTGTCCTGTCCATGCAGGTGCATTGCCCGATGTGATGATCGTGAGTATTTTCTCTGAGTCGATCGTTTTGGGGCGAGTTCATTGCGGGGTGGATACTTCCGTTAATCTGCAGTTGGAATTCCTGTCCTCAATGTCCAACTCTGGTTGGAAAGTGCTTGAGGTGTCGCAAGGAGGTAGCTCTGTCACTGTTAACGGACTGCAGAGTAACGAGACGTATAGCTTCCGACATGTTCTGGTGAATGCTGATGGCACTAGGTCTGCTGTGTCCTCGCTTGCCAATGCCACAACGCTGCATCGACCACAGCTTCAGAGTAAGTGTTTGCGGGGGGGGGGGGGGCTATGAACTGGCACTTGCTTTGCTTCTGCTGCCCGCTTGCAGGTGGGAGCTGTTCAGTTTGTCTGTTCCTATTATACACAGTGGATTATACACAGTGGGTTTTACACAGTGGGTTTTACACAGTGGGTTTTACACAGTGGGTTTTACACAGTGGCATACTGATGCTGCAGAGAAAGGGAACTAAAGCTCTAGTGCTGGTACAGCTGTACTCCGAGTTTCACACGTTGGCGATCATCAGACAGCACTGGTTGTATCATCGGACAGCACTGGTTGTATCATCGGACAGCACTGGTTGTATCATCGGACAGCACTGGTTGTATCATCCGACATCACTTGTTGTATCATCGGACAGCACTGGTTGTATCATCGGACAGCACTGGTTGTATCATCGGACAGCACTGGTTGTATCATCGGACAGCACTGGTTGTATCATCGGACAGCACTGGTTGTATCATCGGACAGCACTGGTTGTATCATCCGACATCACTTGTTGTATCATCGGACAGCACTGGTTGTATCATCGGACAGCACTGGTTGTATCATCGGACAGCACTGGTTGTATCATCGGACAGCACTGGTTGTATCATCGGACAGCACTGGTTGTATCATCCGACATCACTTGTTGTATCATCGGACAGCACTGGTTGTATCATCGGACAGCACTGGTTGTATCATCGGACAGCACTGGTTGTATCATCGGACAGCACTTGTTGTATCATCGGACAGCACTGGTTGTATCATCGGACAGCACTGGTTGTATCATCGGACAGCACTGGTTGTATCATCCGACATCACTTGTTGTATCATCGGACAGCACTGGTTGTATCATCGGACAGCACTGGTTGTATCATCGGACAGCACTGGTTGTATCATCGGACAGCACTGGTTGTATCATCGGACAGCACTGGTTGTATCATCCGACATCACTTGTTGTATCATCGGACAGCACTGGTTGTATCATCGGACAGCACTGGTTGTATCATCGGACAGCACTGGTTGTATCATCGGACAGCACTTGTTGTATCATCGGACAGCACTGGTTGTATCATCGGACAGCACTGGTTGTATCATCCGACATCACTTGTTGTATCATCGGACAGCACTGGTTGTATCATCGGACAGCACTGGTTGTATCATCGGACAGCACTGGTTGTATCATCGGACAGCACTGGTTGTATCATCGGACAGCACTGGTTGTATCATCAGACAGCACTGGTTGTATCATCGGACAGCACTGGTTGTATCATCGGACAGCACTGGTTGTATCATCGGACAGCACTTGTTGTATCATCGGACAGCACTGGTTGTATCATCGGACAGCACTGGTTGTATCATCGGACAGCACTGGTTGTATCATCGGACAGCACTGGTTGTATCATCGGACAGCACTGGTTGTATCATCGGACAGCACTGGTTGTATCATCGGACAGCACTGGTTGTATCATCGGACAGCACTGGTTGTATCATCGGACAGCACTGGTTGTATCATCGGACAGCACTTGTTGTATCATCGGACAGCACTGGTTGTATCATCGGACAGCACTGGTTGTATCATCGGACAGCACTGGTTGTATCATCGGACAGCACTGGTTGTATCATCGGACAGCACTGGTTGTATCATCGGACAGCACTGGTTGTATCATCGGACAGCACTGGTTGTATCATCGGACAGCACTGGTTGTATCATCGGACAGCACTGGTTGTATCATCGGACAGCACTTGTTGTATCATCGGACAGCACTGGTTGTATCATCGGACAGCACTGGTTGTATCATCGGACAGCACTGGTTGTATCATCGGACAGCACTGGTTGTATCATCGGACAGCACTGGTTGTATCATCCGACATCACTTGTTGTATCATCGGACAGCACTGGTTGTATCATCGGACAGCACTGGTTGTATCATCGGACAGCACTGGTTGTATCATCGGACAGCACTGGTTGTATCATCGGACAGCACTGGTTGTATCATCGGACAGCACTGGTTGTATCATCCGACATCACTTGTTGTATCATCGGACAGCACTGGTTGTATCATCGGACAGCACTGGTTGTATCATCGGACAGCACTGGTTGTATCATCGGACAGCACTGGTTGTATCATCGGACAGCACTGGTTGTATCATCCGACATCACTTGTTGTATCATCGGACAGCACTGGTTGTATCATCGGACAGCACTGGTTGTATCATCGGACAGCACTGGTTGTATCATCGGACAGCACTTGTTGTATCATCGGACAGCACTGGTTGTATCATCGGACAGCACTGGTTGTATCATCGGACAGCACTGGTTGTATCATCCGACATCACTTGTTGTATCATCGGACAGCACTGGTTGTATCATCGGACAGCACTGGTTGTATCATCGGACAGCACTGGTTGTATCATCGGACAGCACTGGTTGTATCATCGGACAGCACTGGTTGTATCATCCGACATCACTTGTTGTATCATCGGACAGCACTGGTTGTATCATCGGACAGCACTGGTTGTATCATCGGACAGCACTGGTTGTATCATCGGACAGCACTTGTTGTATCATCGGACAGCACTGGTTGTATCATCGGACAGCACTGGTTGTATCATCCGACATCACTTGTTGTATCATCGGACAGCACTGGTTGTATCATCGGACAGCACTGGTTGTATCATCGGACAGCACTGGTTGTATCATCGGACAGCACTGGTTGTATCATCGGACAGCACTGGTTGTATCATCAGACAGCACTGGTTGTATCATCGGACAGCACTGGTTGTATCATCGGACAGCACTTGTTGTATCATCGGACAGCACTGGTTGTATCATCGGACAGCACTGGTTGTATCATCGGACAGCACTGGTTGTATCATCGGACAGCACTGGTTGTATCATCGGACAGCACTGGTTGTATCATCGGACAGCACTGGTTGTATCATCGGACAGCACTGGTTGTATCATCGGACAGCACTGGTTGTATCATCGGACAGCACTGGTTGTATCATCGGACAGCACTTGTTGTATCATCGGACAGCACTGGTTGTATCATCGGACAGCACTGGTTGTATCATCGGACAGCACTGGTTGTATCATCGGACAGCACTGGTTGTATCATCGGACAGCACTGGTTGTATCATCGGACAGCACTGGTTGTATCATCGGACAGCACTGGTTGTATCATCGGACAGCACTGGTTGTATCATCGGACAGCACTGGTTGTATCATCGGACAGCACTTGTTGTATCATCGGACAGCACTGGTTGTATCATCGGACAGCACTGGTTGTATCATCGGACAGCACTGGTTGTATCATCGGACAGCACTGGTTGTATCATCGGACAGCACTGGTTGTATCATCGGACAGCACTGGTTGTATCATCGGACAGCACTGGTTGTATCATCGGACAGCACTGGTTGTATCATCGGACAGCACTTGTTGTATCATCGGACAGCACTGGTTGTATCATCGGACAGCACTGGTTGTATCATCGGACAGCACTGGTTGTATCATCGGACAGCACTGGTTGTATCATCGGACAGCACTGGTTGTATCATCGGACAGCACTGGTTGTATCATCCGACATCACTTGTTGTATCATCGGACAGCACTGGTTGTATCATCGGACAGCACTGGTTGTATCATCGGACAGCACTGGTTGTATCATCGGACAGCACTGGTTGTATCATCGGACAGCACTGGTTGTATCATCGGACAGCACTGGTTGTATCATCCGACATCACTTGTTGTATCATCGGACAGCACTGGTTGTATCATCGGACAGCACTGGTTGTATCATCGGACAGCACTGGTTGTATCATCGGACAGCACTGGTTGTATCATCGGACAGCACTGGTTGTATCATCCGACATCACTTGTTGTATCATCGGACAGCACTGGTTGTATCATCGGACAGCACTGGTTGTATCATCGGACAGCACTGGTTGTATCATCGGACAGCACTTGTTGTATCATCGGACAGCACTGGTTGTATCATCGGACAGCACTGGTTGTATCATCGGACAGCACTGGTTGTATCATCCGACATCACTTGTTGTATCATCGGACAGCACTGGTTGTATCATCGGACAGCACTGGTTGTATCATCGGACAGCACTGGTTGTATCATCGGACAGCACTGGTTGTATCATCGGACAGCACTGGTTGTATCATCCGACATCACTTGTTGTATCATCGGACAGCACTGGTTGTATCATCGGACAGCACTGGTTGTATCATCGGACAGCACTGGTTGTATCATCGGACAGCACTTGTTGTATCATCGGACAGCACTGGTTGTATCATCGGACAGCACTGGTTGTATCATCCGACATCACTTGTTGTATCATCGGACAGCACTGGTTGTATCATCGGACAGCACTGGTTGTATCATCGGACAGCACTGGTTGTATCATCGGACAGCACTGGTTGTATCATCGGACAGCACTGGTTGTATCATCAGACAGCACTGGTTGTATCATCGGACAGCACTGGTTGTATCATCGGACAGCACTGGTTGTATCATCGGACAGCACTTGTTGTATCATCGGACAGCACTGGTTGTATCATCGGACAGCACTGGTTGTATCATCGGACAGCACTGGTTGTATCATCGGACAGCACTGGTTGTATCATCGGACAGCACTGGTTGTATCATCGGACAGCACTGGTTGTATCATCGGACAGCACTGGTTGTATCATCGGACAGCACTGGTTGTATCATCGGACAGCACTGGTTGTATCATCGGACAGCACTTGTTGTATCATCGGACAGCACTGGTTGTATCATCGGACAGCACTGGTTGTATCATCGGACAGCACTGGTTGTATCATCGGACAGCACTGGTTGTATCATCGGACAGCACTGGTTGTATCATCGGACAGCACTGGTTGTATCATCGGACAGCACTGGTTGTATCATCGGACAGCACTGGTTGTATCATCGGACAGCACTGGTTGTATCATCGGACAGCACTTGTTGTATCATCGGACAGCACTGGTTGTATCATCGGACAGCACTGGTTGTATCATCGGACAGCACTGGTTGTATCATCGGACAGCACTGGTTGTATCATCGGACAGCACTGGTTGTATCATCGGACAGCACTGGTTGTATCATCGGACAGCACTGGTTGTATCATCGGACAGCACTGGTTGTATCATCGGACAGCACTTGTTGTATCATCGGACAGCACTGGTTGTATCATCGGACAGCACTGGTTGTATCATCGGACAGCACTGGTTGTATCATCGGACAGCACTGGTTGTATCATCGGACAGCACTGGTTGTATCATCGGACAGCACTGGTTGTATCATCCGACATCACTTGTTGTATCATCGGACAGCACTGGTTGTATCATCGGACAGCACTGGTTGTATCATCGGACAGCACTGGTTGTATCATCGGACAGCACTTGTTGTATCATCGGACAGCACTGGTTGTATCATCGGACAGCACTGGTTGTATCATCCGACATCACTTGTTGTATCATCGGACAGCACTGGTTGTATCATCGGACAGCACTGGTTGTATCATCGGACAGCACTGGTTGTATCATCGGACAGCACTGGTTGTATCATCGGACAGCACTGGTTGTATCATCAGACAGCACTGGTTGTATCATCGGACAGCACTGGTTGTATCATCGGACAGCACTGGTTGTATCATCGGACAGCACTTGTTGTATCATCGGACAGCACTGGTTGTATCATCGGACAGCACTGGTTGTATCATCGGACAGCACTGGTTGTATCATCGGACAGCACTGGTTGTATCATCGGACAGCACTGGTTGTATCATCGGACAGCACTGGTTGTATCATCGGACAGCACTGGTTGTATCATCGGACAGCACTGGTTGTATCATCGGACAGCACTGGTTGTATCATCGGACAGCACTTGTTGTATCATCGGACAGCACTGGTTGTATCATCGGACAGCACTGGTTGTATCATCGGACAGCACTGGTTGTATCATCGGACAGCACTGGTTGTATCATCGGACAGCACTGGTTGTATCATCGGACAGCACTGGTTGTATCATCGGACAGCACTGGTTGTATCATCGGACAGCACTGGTTGTATCATCGGACAGCACTGGTTGTATCATCGGACAGCACTGGTTGTATCATCGGACAGCACTGGTTGTATCATCGGACAGCACTTGTTGTATCATCGGACAGCACTGGTTGTATCATCGGACAGCACTGGTTGTATCATCGGACAGCACTGGTTGTATCATCGGACAGCACTGGTTGTATCATCGGACAGCACTGGTTGTATCATCGGACAGCACTGGTTGTATCATCGGACAGCACTGGTTGTATCATCGGACAGCACTGGTTGTATCATCGGACAGCACTTGTTGTATCATCGGACAGCACTGGTTGTATCATCGGACAGCACTGGTTGTATCATCGGACAGCACTGGTTGTATCATCGGACAGCACTGGTTGTATCATCGGACAGCACTGGTTGTATCATCGGACAGCACTGGTTGTATCATCGGACAGCACTGGTTGTATCATCGGACAGCACTGGTTGTATCATCGGACAGCACTGGTTGTATCATCGGACAGCACTGGTTGTATCATCGGACAGCACTGGTTGTATCATCGGACAGCACTGGTTGTATCATCGGACAGCACTGGTTGTATCATCGGACAGCACTGGTTGTATCATCGGACAGCACTGGTTGTATCATCGGACAGCACTGGTTGTATCATCGGACAGCACTGGTTGTATCATCGGACAGCACTGGTTGTATCATCGGACAGCACTGGTTGTATCATCGGACAGCACTGGTTGTATCATCGGACAGCACTGGTTGTATCATCGGACAGCACTGGTTGTATCATCGGACAGCACTGGTTGTATCATCGGACAGCACTGGTTGTATCATCGGACAGCACTGGTTGTATCATCGGACAGCACTGGTTGTATCATCAGACAGCACTGGTTGTATCATCGGACAGCACTGGTTGTATCATCAGACAGCACTGGTTGTATCATCGGACAGCACTGGTTGTATCATCGGACAGCACTGGTTGTATCATCGGACAGCACTGGTTGTATCATCAGACAGCACTGGTTGTATCATCGGACAGCACTGGTTGTATCATCGGACAGCACTGGTTGTATCATCGGACAGCACTGGTTGTATCATCGGACAGCACTGGTTGTATCATCGGACAGCACTGGTTGTATCATCGGACAGCACTGGTTGTATCATCGGACAGCACTGGTTGTATCATCGGACAGCACTGGTTGTATCATCGGACAGCACTGGTTGTATCATCGGACAGGGGCACTTGTTGTATCATCGGACAGGGGCACTGGTTGTATCATCGGACAGCACTGGTTGTATCATCGGACAGCACTGGTTGTATCATGGGACAGGGGCACTGGTTGTATTTCAAAGTATACTGTTTACTAATCTCTACCATTGTTGTTGTGATCGCTGCCGTTTGCTCAGAGCGCAAGAGTACATCCACAGGCGTCATTGTGGCTGCTGTTGTTTCATCGCTCGTTGTGATAGTGATGGTCGCCGTTCTAGTGTACATTCTGGCCGCACCACATCGGCGAAGACGTGACAACAAGTCAGAGGAAATTTGTGGTAAGTCCCGGTTGGAGTCTCTGAACGGCGCACGGTGTACAATTGCTGCTCAATGAAATCCGATGGCGTGAGTCAATTTTGCGCCTCAGTGCACCATTTTGCAGCCCAGTGTTCGCAGGCCTACAGTCCATTTCAAAACTATAGACGCGTAGGGTTTTTGAAATAATTTCAAATTTGGCTGGAGCTGTTTGAGAATAGTTTTCGGAATATTGCTCAGGTCCGCTCCACAATTACTCTCATATAGTTTCTAGATAACAGATGCCCAATTTGGAAAAAATTTATGCACAAAGTGATCACAGATTGTATGTGGTATAGATGCTGGCATAACGTTTTTTGCCTAGGTATGCGTCTATAGTTTTGAAATGGACTGTAGGGCTGCGCAGCGCCCAGCGCGTACTTGAGTGACTCTATCCTCTATTGTATTTCATTCAGCAGTACTGTACATGCAGTACTGTACATGCAGTACTGTACATGCAGTACTGTACATGCAGTACTGTACATGCGGTACTGTACATGCGGTACTGTACATGCGGTACTGTACATGCGGTACTGTACATGCGGTACTGTAGATGCGGTACTGTAGATGGGTAGTGCAGTTGTGAAAAAGGGTGAATGGCAGCCACACTTTCTAGTATAGAATGCTTCCTCTGTTTGTGGACTGCCCACTGATTACCCAATGGCAGCATATCTGCCTACACAGAAGACGGAACTCGGAACTGGTTCCACTTCTGTGTCAATACTCAATACACTGCATGTAATTTACTTCATAGGCAGGTAGCCAATCACGGTGGCTGTGCCTGTTGCCATGTAGGAACGCAGCCCGTCCAGAAATTGAGCCATCAATGCCACATGTGCAGGACACCGAGTTGCCGAGAATACAGAGCCCAATAACCTCCAGTCAGATAAACGAATAGGAACATCCAACGCTGGCACTATGCATCTTTTAGTGTGTAAGACTTGAAGTAGAAAATGTTCCAGACTTATCCAGTATGGGATTGCATTTAGAATTTTAGATAATGTCGTTCTTGGAATGCCAGGCCTGGTGTAGTGTTTGTGTGAATGTAGCCTAGGCGCCATGTCTTTGATCTCCACCTAGACTGCTGTGGTGCTCAATGAAACCTGCATGGCGGGCACCGTGACGGTCATTTGGTGGCGCTTAGCATGATGCAGATCCAGACCGAGCAAACAGCTAGTTCTGCTTGGTATGCAGCCACAAACCGACCAAACAGCTAGTTCTGCTTGGTATGCAGGCACAGACCTTCAAACACTCGCCTGTGCACTGGTGCAGGGCGTCAACTTATCCTTGCTCCCGGATTTCAGTGAGCAGCACCGTATACCTCATCGCTGGAGCTCTTGAAGCAGCTTAGTTAGCGTAGGTAATCAACATCACATTTTGATAACTTGTAGCCACTTATCGTTTGCTCATCTTGCAGCATATCCCAACAACAATAAGCCATCACTGTATGACTCAACGGACGGCAGAGAGTAAGCTATGTGATCGTTGTGATGTTGTGATCATTGGGGTTTGCCGCGTTGCCCTGTGTAAGCATATGTATCTACCTGATGAGCCTCGGGTTGATGCAGATCATCGTGTGTTGTTTGTGCCTACGCTTGAGTGCCCATTGCGTAGTGTGTGTTGTCTACACAGTACATGTGCCCGAGTAAATCCACAACAACGCATTGCCACTGGCTAGGTGCCATGGCAACATGGGTGATGTGCATGTTTTAGATGGATGTGTGGTCGCCGCTCTCTCATCCGAACAAATACCTCATCTGAACTCCCTGCAGATAGCCCCGCACCCCGAGGAGTGTGCATTATCAGCGACCTGTGGCATTATACCGTATGACATTCTGGTCTCGTGATCCAAGTTGTCTTCTTTGAAATTGCAGTGGCTTGTACATGCGGTGTGCTGTCTCACATCTGCTTGCCATGTATGTGTGTGTGTGTGTGCGTGCGTGCGTGCGTGCGTGCGTGTGTGTTTTCTCAACCATCACCAGAACACCAGTCGACTTCAATAACTGCCACCCTCAGGAGGAGATCTGCGCTAGCAGCAGCAGAGCGGAATCACCTGCTCCAGAACAGAAGCTGACTCAACCAGAGCCGCTGGTTGCACCGCTCACTGCACCGCTAACTGCACAGTCATCCAGGGTAAGGATCCTGTGCAACATAGAATATTAAATGTGGGCTTTGCGCAGCAAAGCCTAGTTAGCCCATGCACACGCATGCTGGTGAACTAGTATACTGCCCACCGAGGGCGCTCAAATGGCCGCCGCGGCCAGCAAACCGCCCGTCGAGGGCTAAACCAGCAGACAACCCATCGAGGGTGCGCAAATTGCCACCGAGGCAAGCAAACTGCCCACCGTGGGCCGATATCATCTTGCCCGCCGAGGGCACACAAACGGCCACCGAGGCCAGCCAATCGCCCACCGAGGGCTCACACGACTGCCTGGCATCAGGCGTCACAACATACAGACATAATAGGAGGCCCGTTTGCCCCCCCCCCAACCGGAGAAACAAAATGCCCCTTCAAAAAGGGTGGGAGGGAGGGAAAAAACTTTGACTTGACACTGAAACTGCAACTGCAAAGAACGCTCCTTCGCACAAAGACAGCTCAGCAAAACACGTCTCCAAATAATTAGACGCCGGATCCACAATTGTCCATAACATTTTGCCGGGCCACACACGGCGCACACGGCTTAATCACGAGGCGGTCACATGACACGCACTCGCAGCACTCCACCAACACTTTTTACCCCTCGGCGGGCGGTTTGCTGGCCTCGGCGGCCATGTGTGCGCCCTCGGTGGGCAGTATGCTAGTTTAGCCCTCGGTGGGCAGTATGCTAGTTTAGCCCTCGGCGGGCGGTTTGCTGGCCTCGGCGGCCATTTGCGCGCCCTCGGTGGGCAGTAGGCTAGTTTAGCCATTCGGGCCCCCTCGGTGGGCAGTATGCTAGTTTAGCCCGCGGCGGGCCGCGGTGGCCATTTGTGTGCCCTTGGCGGGCGGATGCTAGTTTCAGGCATGCATCTTTACTCAATCAATTACAGTCGACCTACCCTTATAACGATAACCTCTATTACGATATTACCCTTATAACGATATTTTTCTGCCAAACCAAATCACTCCATTGACTTTTGTATACAATGCCCTACCCTTATAACAATATTGCTATAACGATATTACCCCTATAACGATATAAAATGGGCTGAGCAATCAACATTTTCCATTTTATAACAATATCTAGCAGGGAAGATGTAGAGCCCACTATCCAGGTAGGGCAAGTTTCACTTGATAAGTCGCTGGGACATGACGAAATGCAATGTGGGCACCAGTGGGCACCTTGCTGTGTACATGATGTGCATGTATGTCAGTTTTTTATGCTATGAAGAGTGTAAAAAAATTGAACAAAATCCATGCATTATGACGTATGTGTATGAAATGAACCAGTTACCCCTTTAACAATATTACCCTTATAACAATAATTCTTGGTCTGACGCAAATATCGTTATAAGGGTAGGTTGACTGTATTATCAAAGACCATATTCTTGAATATTTGAATTGTCCAAAAGAAATCATGGCAACCCCCAACCCAATGTGTCTATTGTATGTTCGTGCACGCCATTGGGAGCGGTACGTTGTGCGGGTGTCTGCGTGTCAGAGCATGGGTACACCAGTGGCGTGTGCGTGCATGTGTGCGCGTGCGTCTGTCTGCATGACTGCACGAGTGCCCAAGCTGGGCGTGCGGGTGCACTTGGAGGTGCTTGCATGTTGACGGGTGCAGGGGCTAATATACAATGTCATGTAGGTTATGTTGTTTCGAAGAGCCATGTCATACGGCTCTGTGTGTGTGTGTGTGGGGGGGGGGGGGGTTGTGTGTGTGTGGGGGGGGGGTGCATGCGTGTGTGTGTGTGTGTGATCCTGGTAGCCTACTTGGAACAGAACTGTCCTGGAAAGACCTGGGGTGTGTGTGGGGGGGGGGGGGGTTGTATATCGCCTGCAGTGTGGGTCATTCTTTTGCAACACAATGCATGTTGTCCCTATTGGGGAAGTTAAAAGGGTTGACCATAGTCTACTAGTATCTAGCAGTGTGCGGGTGTAGCTGCATGATTAGATGTAATGAAGGCAGCATGGCACACATCTGACCTGTAGATAATACTAAGTAGGTCAAAGCTGCATACTCTTGGTTATGGACTCTTGCAATGATTTACGGGTGGATTGAGTCTTTTTCTTCAGGTTCTTGGCGTTTTGTTCATTTTTTGTATTGAGATTTTGTGTCATAATATTATGTCATGACAGTATAGAGGGTAATGATTACGGGTGTGTGCGTGTGTGTGTGTGTGTGTGTGTGCGCGCGCGCGCGTGCGTGTGTGTGCGCGTGCGCGCGTGTGTGTGTGCGCATGCGTCTGTTTATAGGAAAGTAACTATGCCAAGCTTGAACTGTTGACTCCCACAACAACAACAGTACGTCGCAGTTCAGAGATGGCTCCTAACGAGTACTCTGCTATTGACCGGGAGGCAACCAAGCGAGCGCAAGGGGCACGTGTGGACTTCCACAGTGCTAGACAAATCAGCTTCCCAGACAATGAGGCAGAGCGAATGGAGCATTCCACTGTGTAGGTTTGTCGATCCTCGCCGCCTGGTTCCGTGATACCGTTGATTGGTGCGTGTGTGTGTGTGTGTGTGTGTGTGTGTACACTATAGAATTGACCATGTATGTTAGGGCAGTACCGTTTGTGTTTTCGTGCGTGGAGTTCCCGTGTCGAAGTCGATAAGAAAACTTCAAGTTGATGCTGGATACGGGTGCCCAGCATTCCGCCATGGATGCTGCTGCTAGTGCTACTGCTGTGCACGGGCACATGTCATTGTTGCTGCAGTGCCTAAACCCAGTGTGGTATGTGTACATGTAGTACACAGCTGATGCAACTTTTGGCCTACAGTGGTCACCATGGTCACAGTGGTCACCATGGTCACAGACCAGGACCCAGGTGGTACATGTATGTGTTAGGTTTCGTATTGCACGCGTCGATTGTAAGTTGTACGCGTCGATTGTAAGTTGTAAGCGTACATAGTTGAAGTAGTTGTTGTTGTCCGGTGTGCTTGTGTTGAGTTTCACAAGTTAATTGTGCCAGTGTATTACTCACCTGCGTTGAGGCAAGCGTGTATGCGTGTACACTGCACTTCGATGTACTACATTGTAGACTGTGCTCTGTTTGAACTGCCAAGAGATAATTATTCTATTTGAGTATTCCTTCTATCCGTTCGGTCTCCGCTACGCTTCGTTGAGAACATCCGATTGTGTTTATATTCCGGTAAAGATCTGTGTTTTATCAAGTACTACTGAACCGAAGTGTCCTGTACTGATCAACTTGTTTTTTTCTTTTACAAGTATTATTATTATTACGGTATATACTTTAAAAACATTTAATACCATATCTTTACGAGAAGATAGCGTATCCCCCCCCACCTGACCGAGTACAATTTTTTTTAACCCCTTACTGCACCATAATGCGTAAGAAGTGCCAACAATTGACATAATAGTTCTGTTGTCTACACTTCGAAGTAACGTTGCTGCAATCCGTGTCTGTCCTCGTTCTCCTTCCGGAAACGTGCCATGCCTACACTGAGACTGGCCTACAGTGTAATATGGTGCGGAACATGACTGCGCTGCTTGCAGTGTGCACTAGTACAGCTGTCCAGAACAGTTTTTTCTCTGTTTTGCTGTGACCGGATACATGCACACGGGAATTTTCCATGCATGTGCAAGTAGTCAACTTACAATTGTAGTAGAGCGCTGCAAACTGGCTAGAGAGCTTGGTAGCTAGTGCCTGGTCATTCCGGGCCACGTACACCTGCTACTGGGGAAGCAATTTATTGTGTTGCATGCAGCTTCCAGCATACATGTACATGTACTGTGAGTGTGAAGTTCTGACGTGTTGATGCCACTGATCTTTCTGTATTTTGCGGATGGGGATGGGGGGGGGGGGTAAAGAGCAGGGAGTAGTATTTTACTACTCCCTGGTAAAAAGTGCACTGCCATGTGCAGGTGGAAAGGGTGGAGACAAGGTCAGTTTGTGTTCAAAGTACCTGTGCTCACCAAAATTATTCGTACTGGCACCAGGAGTCACCAAACCTGCCCGGTTTGATATTCAGTCAGAATGGAATGTAAAGT